TAGAATGAGCTTTTTATAAATAGAGACGCCATGGCCATCACGTTGAGCTACCATATTTCTACAGTAGCCCAGAACAGACAAACCAAACACTCTAGATGGGACCGTTTGAGATTTTTCACGTGTTTCACAGCCATCGTAGTTTCAATGAGTTTATGGGTAAAACGACTGAGTCGCGGTCTGAGACTACATCGCTCGGTGCCACTAAATCCTTCACACTGGACCTTTAAAAACATCTCATGAAAATGGAAAAGCAGAACTCCACAGGATGAACTGCTACATCACTGCCGTAGTTTGGATACATTCTTGCACTGAATAGTTTCTTTCTTAAACATAGACAGATAACATGACTATTTAGACTGAATGGGATCTTTCTGTCCTAGACAACGTAGCTTAGAGATATCATGAATTCTTAGACTGAATGGGAGCCTGTTTACCTTTCTGAGTCCCCATTTTTCATCACATGGACACTGCACAATGGCAATAAGTCGGAAAGCACAATCTCTCTCTCTCACACACACAAGAAATGACAGATAATGAGAATCTCTGCTAACACACTAGTGTAATTTGTATAAACTGATGAGAGAACTGACTGAATATATTGTTGAATCACTCATGTTCGCTTCCACCATTAAAATGCACACATTTATATTGTTGACCTCCCTTCCTTGTTCCCTTGGACTAACTATGGCACCTTTCTAGTCTTCCGACCACTAAAACTTTACACTAGATGTCACATTTACACACTGACGGGGGCAAGTTAATGCAAGTCGCTGCTCATCAGAAAGTAATTCACCATTCACACACACTCACACACCTATGACACAGCAATTTGGGCTTCAGTGTCTTTCCCAGGGGACATGCAGCAGGAGGAGCTGGGGATCGAACCACCAACCTTCTGTTTAGTGGGCGATCCGCTCTGCCTCCTGAGCCACAGCCGCCCCTTTACTGTACTTTTTTCTCTTTCTCTTCCTCAGATGTCTTTGATGGAGCGTGGGGCGGTTCGCCCAATTACGGCAGTGGCGTGGACCTCCAACTCCAGTACCTGCCCCAAAGATTACAGCCTGGTAGGGAATAAAGATTTATACAGCTGTCCACGTACAATAGTTAATTGTTTCCACCAGAGTAACAATGTTTAACTCTTTAGAAAGCCCCCAAATATATAGGAACCGGTTAGTTCCGTGTTTCACTCCATAACTAATCTTTGCTTAAAGTGGAGCAGCTGTATTTGTAGGCAGTCAAATGTTGTTGTGGAAACGTTAAGTAGGACAGTTGTGTTTTGATGAGCTGCAAACTTGACCTTTTAGAACCTGAGTGGTTGTTTAAAAAGTGACATCAGCTCACTGTAAACTACCTTTTCTGGTTCCGGACAAAAAGTGATGTTGTGTAGCTATGAATTTGTAAAAGTTTACTGTATGTGTGTGACTTGAACACTATAATAAAAACAGCACCGTGGCCAGCTATTTAATAATAATCGTAGTCATAATTGTACTCTTTGGTTCTGAAGTTAAAGTCAATATTTGACTACGCCCACTTAATGGGCCTTTTTACAGCTGGAAACAAGAGAAATGTGCAATAAAATATGCAAATGTTTTAATGTTTTTTTAAATTAGTGCAACATGACCAGAGAAAACAGATAAAACGGGGCATTCCCTTTTGCTGCCTCTTTAAATCAGATGTGGTTTATCTGACTGTACCCCTTTAATCTGCAGATCAGCCTCACAGAAGACGGAGTAGCTGCGAACTTTACACGCAGCTTTGGGATGAAGTCTGGATATTACCTCTGTTACAGCAAGGTAACAGACAGATACAATATACACAGACACACACACAGACAATACATCATATGTATGTTTCCCATCAGCCCTCCTATCTTCAATGAACAGACTGTATTTCTCTCTACAGGACTTGGCAGGTGGGATGGTGGTGTCAGATATTCAGCTGATTTCAGACAAGGACTCTATTCCTCATGGTTATAGCTATATAGCAGAGCACCTTGAACCAAGTGAGTGCATATACACACACTTTTTTTTTTGTCTTTCTATACTTGTGAGGACTTTCATTGACATAATGCATTCACTAGTAACTCTAACTTTAACCATCACAACTGAATGCCTAATCCCAACACTTACCCTAATTTAATTTAATTCATTTAAACCTTAAAACTAAATCATAACCTATTAACCGTCCTTTGAAGCAGTTAGGACCTGTCAAAATGTTCTCACAATGCAGAAATGTCCTCGCTATAATCGTTAAAAGTTACATACAGGTGTTTACACAGTCCTGATATTTGATGTCTTATTTACTCACTTCTGATTTAATCTGTAGTCTAATGGATGTTATTTGTATTTGTGTGTGTGTGTGTGTGTGTGTGTGTCCAGAGACCTCTGTTTCGAAGAAGAAACGTGTGTGTGTGAGCATCGTCCCAGTGGGCAGTGTGGACACAGCTGTGTTGGATATTAAACTGACAGCCAAAAGCAAAATGATGCTGCAGCATTACACATATGTTGGGTTGGTAACATTTGCATATACAAACATTTGTATACTTGTTTTATCAAAGCATATCTTGAATTCTGTTACCCAAACACAGCGGTCTGTATTGAGAAATGAGTTATTTCAGGCACTCAGTACATGAATTGTTCAGTTCTTAATGTATCATTAAATGTGCCCTTTCCACAGAGACATCCATGGCTACGTGTTGTGGTGCAGAAAGGGCTATTTTTCTAGCCCCGTGCCCCAAGCCAAGCCCCGCAGTGTCAGCCTGGACCTCCGCAGATTCTCATTGGAGCAACCGTCTGCTCCTCTGCCGCTCAGACCCAGGTACAATACTAAAATAGAGAAGTCCTACAGTGCTTTTTGATGATTTAATTTAATTATTTATTGGGTGACACGTCTGGTGCACGGGGTTTAAACACAGCCAATTCACTATAAAATGCCATCACATAGTTTCTCTTTATAGAAGATATGTCAAAATAAGAGAGAAGGTGGTTTCATAACACTAGAGTATAGCACAGTCTGTGTCCTGCAAATGTTTCACTCGTTATTCAAATCTGTTCGTCCGTGCAGCAACCCTCCTCCTGCACTGCCTCAAAATAAACTGAGTCAGAGACGCTGCAACCTCCACACCAAGGACAACTTGGACAAACCTGCTGACGGCAGTATCCAGGGAATCACAGGTACTCCAAGTCTCTCCTCATACACAGGAAACTTGTTACTATTTCTCACTGCAGGCAACCAACCTGAACTATTACTTACCTTCCCTCTCTGCAGCTCTAGATGGAGTTCCCTTCAGCCTTCACCCAAAGTTTGATATCCAGGCAAATGGCACGGTACGTTTGATCTTTTCAACAATACTTAAGTGATGGATTCGACAGCTGTTTTTTGCCTCAATTTATCTGTTGTTTGGTCACATTTCTTTCTCTTTGTCATATCTTTCCCTTAGACTCTTCAGCTGAACTCTCAGTTAAACAACATTCGCATAAAGTCTCTCCAAGACATTGAAAATGAGGTAGAGTCACATCTGATTTGTCAAATTAAGAATTTAACATTTTCCCAACAAAGAATATACTCACTTTGTTTTTGTTTGTTGTTTTTTTAGTATAACTACAATTTTGTTGTGGAGGAATCTGCTGCCAAGAGGACCAGACCATCAGTGTCGGCAGGAAGCACTCCATCAGCTCAGTGATTTTGAACTTTGACAACAATATCACATCATGGTACAGATGAAGGTGTCCACCGTAGGCTTACAATATTAGGCTTCAAGTGGAATTATAAGGATTTATCTTAACAGCGTCAATTAAAAGGTCATCTATGACGAGTCATACTTTATAGCTTCCCTTCTATTTCTTTTTATTTGTCTGTACTTCACTACCAAGTTTCTATTTGCCAAAGGAAAGGCCTGTTTGAATGATAATTATATTGTCTTAACATGTCTTTAGACTGTTCACCTTTTGTAGGACTACAGTCTTTAAAGGTGTTAAAGGGTTAAAGGCGTAATGACTCTACCAATCTGTAGGGCATCTACTACTCATCTCCAGCATTAAGTTTACTGCCAGAAAAATGCTTTATTATATCATGAAGATGCACCTGACATTGAAGACTTGTGCTGTTTGCTTTGTTGTATATTACCTGATATCCTCGCGTGTTACGCGTCTTTGATTGTTTAAATCATTAAGATTTTCTCAAGCAGAGCCGTAATATTGATGGATGAACGTTTTCGCAGATGTTGAACTGAACTCCCTAGATAGACTCAACAGATCTAAATGTGGGATATGGGGTATTTCTTGTATGAAGAGCTACCTACTATCAGTTTTGTATTATTCCAAAAAGTAATATTATATCCTATTTTAAGGTAAATGGAGAAAGGTTGTATATTTTGCTATTTAGTGTGTTACTTAAATAAGATAATGTGGTAAAAAAGGGGGAGAGAATCTGTTTGTTTTTTTAAACTGTGGTGGAATAAGGACCAAGTATATTTATCTTGGTTATTGTAAAATATATAAAGTTATGTTTTTTTATGGTCTGTATATCAAAGTGTAATTGCATGGAAAAAATAAAAAAATAAGAAGCACCACTTCAGGTGTGTTGGTTTTACATACAGTGCAAACTTACAGAAATACTGTAGATTGAGGCACGTTTGAGAAAAAGTCTATTTATTTAGATGCATTTGATTGAGCATATATCCTACATGTACCATTTTATTCCTCCCTCTGGTTATGATGGAGAACTCCTACAGTTCTTTACCATTTTGACTAAAATTTTCAATGTAAATGCAGCATCACACTTTTCTATTTGAATGTATTCGGAAAAACCAACACTATGGAGCAATATACTGCCATCTGCTGTACTATTTTGGACTTGAAATATGTTATGTATACATTGCCTATTACGTCATTCTCCCTGCATAGTAAACTGTTGTGCAACCTCTCTGAAATCATTCATATTTTTTGTGTCTTATTTTTTATTTTTTTCCAATTTTCAACGTTTGTGATGAAAAGAGCAAAATGGGCAATATCAATATCAACTGTACAAAACACTGTACTATAATTTTCATTATCTATTTTTTTTAAAAGGTCCAACACTGGACCAGCAGAAATGGAAAATAATATTCATAGGTATGTTTTCATTAGTTTATAATTACCTGAATATAGGAATTGTTATGCTTTTGTTACCTTATAATGAGCTGTTTGTATCTACAGATGCTACAG